GTGCTGCCGTTGAGCGCATGATTGTGCGTGAGCGTGCTGTGCGTATAATGTCAAAATAAAGGATGTTGTCTGTGGATGAGTCTGGAAACAGGTAAAATAAAAAAGAAAGAAACCAAGGACAAGGGTGAGCAGCATAAAAACAAGAGGGGGGAAAAAAACCGAGAAGAAAAAAAAAAAACCCCGGAAACATTCCAATTAAATCACTGACGGAGAGTGACGGTGTAAATTCTGCTATGATATCACACTTACGATGTGATATGATACTGGTAAGTTAAACAGATGTTAATGCAAGTTAGTGTGAGTGGATATGAAAAGGGTGTAGCGGATTCTTATCTGGTGTGAAGTTAATACAGCCACGGAGTGATGTTGGGGGTCACGGTAAAGCTGTCCATCCACGTACAGCCGGTCCACAGTGATGACAGCGCGGGAGCCCTTCTGGATGAAGCCGCGTCGGATTGGGAAGATCATTCCAGGATCTCTTTTGGGAACTGGTTTTGTTATACTTTTTAATACAATGGAAATCTATGACTGCTGCATTCTTCTTGCGAGGTACTTCCTTTCAGTTTTTTTGTTCTAATTTATTTTTTTAAAATTTGCTGGTTATGATTGCTTTTTGCTTTTTGAGAAAGAGCACTACAATATTGATCACAACAGGTAGTGCATACACCAACAAATACTACACACAATTGCACATTTAAGCAAAAGCTTTTACATGCATTTCTACATGCGTGCATATATACAAGCAGAGGAGAGAATACTGTTCTGTAGTTTAAATGCTATAAACTCTAACCATGGTTGCCTCTGCATTTAAAATAAGAAACCACAGAAGGCCCACATCTAATGATCAAATAGGTCAACTGCTGAATAAAGTCTCAGACATGATCGCAGGCTTTTCTTAGTGAAAAGTGAGTTCTAGCAATCCAGGGGTGAGAAATTTTAATTGTAATAAAACTGTTAAGCAACTCAGTGCCAGCAAAAGTGTGATACGTGAGTTTCCTGTTGCCAAAATCATCAAAGTAAAATATCTCTCTCACAGGTTTTTACCATTGCATACACTTAAAAACACCAAAGAGTAAGTGTATCTTTTATTTTCAACAATGCTTATCTTGCCTTTGTACCGATTTTATTTAGATTTAGACTGCTCTGTGCTTTTTGTTTGTTTGATTTTAGTGGCCATGGAGCACCTGTTTCGAAGGCCACAGCAGATAAGACTGAAGCCATCTTAAAATGAACGATAATCTTTTAAACAAGATTGCATAGTTAAAATAAAAGACGTGTAAAAAAACAACTGATTGCAGCTTAAAAACACATCTTATCAACTCACGGATCATTAGAGATAAACTGGTTGAACTCATAAAGCCCTATTCTAAGATAAATAGTTATCTATACCTATAACCTGCATAATCACAGAAAATTGTTGTTGCTGATTAGTCTCTTCTTCGTGATATTCTTTTCAGGCCTCGTCAAACTGCTCATCTGCAACAGCTTGAAAGGGATTATTACAAAACTGACCACGTGACCCAGTTGTTCACTTATTGAAAAAAAATGTCAGTGTTAACCTGACATGTCGGTGTAAACCAGTGTTCACAAATATATATATATATTATATATAATATAATATTGTGGAAAGGATGAGACCCATCACAAAGGTATTCTTAATATCCAAAAAGGACCCAATGCATCTTCAGAGTTCATCAAATTCTCTGATTTTAACTCACCTTTAGCACCTTGATTGCATTTTCAGTCTTGACAGTGATTTTTTTTGAGATGTGGAGAGCCATGGCCAGAGCTCTGAAGCCAGTGAACATCCCGATCTCTAGGACCCTCTGTGCTTGACTCAGGTGGATTAGCATCTTCAGTTTTTGACCTGCCAAAAGCACACGAAAGATCACAGCAAAAAGATGAGTCTGTTCGTGGACGTAGCATTTTCTTTGTCAGTCTCACTGAAGACTGAGAAGTCACTTGGATGAGTGACAAAATGTTTCTCTCACTGAAAACGCTCCAAACAGATCAACAGAATCAACTGTGTGGGATCACTGAGCATGCATCACGTCTTAGCCTTGTTTTACTTGATCCAGTCAAATTAAAATGATCTCACTGGTCAAAAAGAACTTCTGAATATGGGTTAAGTGGTCAAGCCATTTATTATCAAGGAAACCATTGGGTTTACATGGGTGGCTGTAGCTCAGGTGGCAGAGCAGGTCAGCCACTAATCAGAAGGTCGGTGGTTCGATCCCAGGCTGCCTCCTGGCTGCATGCCAAATGTCCTTGGGCAAGATACTAACCCCATATTTGCCTACGTGGTGGTCAGAGGGCCCGGTGGCGCCTGTGTCCGGCAGCCTCGCCTCTGTCAGTGCGCCCCAGGGCAGCTGTGGCTACAATGTAGCTTGCCATCCCCAATGGGTGAATGACTGAATGTAGTGTAAAGCACTTTGGGGTCCTTAAGGACTAGAAAAGCGCTATACAAATGCAGGCCATTTACAGTTAGGCAAGCCTCTCAGTTTAATGGGGGTAGGGAAATTTTAGTTGCAGGATTGACTAGTGTATGTGTCAAGGTACTGTACATCAAATGCAGTCTTTTTTTGGTTCACTCACTCAGTTGTGTGTTTCCTGTTCTGCTGCTTGAAAGATTGACATGGACATTAAAGGTGTTCAACAATAACATAGCAGTATGATGAACTATAAAACGTAACAACAGTCCTATGAAATAGAATTTTCAAATATAGCTCAAATAATATTGCACTAGGAAGTGCCAGGGTTTTTTTTTTTTTTGGACTCCAATACTCAGATTTCTGTCATGCAGCAACATGTTGTGGTTAGAAAGTCAAGTTTCACATGCTGAATACTAGTTCCCTTATTTGCTGTTGAGCAGTTGTGTTTCTAAAGGATTTCGTTGAAGTGCATGTAGCACTTGCTGTATTCATTTTGTCCTGGTGTATTGTCAACATATGCTTACGCTATTCTTACTCCATGTTAAGTTGCAAAGCAATGCCTCTTTCCAGGACTTCTTTCTCCATTTTAACCATCAGATACATAGAATATTCCTGACAGGAAGAAGATGAGAACTGAGCGGGTTTTGGTGAGCTTGTACTTCCTTCCAATCTCACCGCGTTGGATTCTTTTCTCATTGTATTTGTACTTCTGTGTATCCTGTAATTAGTGTTTACAGAATAAGTCAGGTTGTGTTTTACAATGTTGTTAATTAGATTAAGAAAAAGACATTAATACTTAATCAGTGTTCTCAGTCTATTCAATGCCAGTGCCATGTTGTTTGATGCCTTAAAACTTAACTTTGAAGTCAGTCAAACCTGTTTTGAAAAATGTCCTTGTTACAAAATGACTGTTTTTCAAAGTGTGGTTTGAAAAAAATAAAAACCCAACAAAAACTGCACCTTCACCAACAGGAGCAAAAAAGTGTGCATATTCCAAAACTGTTCAACTGCTGTATGTATTTATTGTGGTTAAACTGAAAATACCTTTTCCACTACACCACAGCACCATCCACAGTCTTTTAATGTCTTCTGAAAGCACACCATACAGTTAAGTAATGTCATACTTTCTCATAAAGCAGGTGTTACCTCAGAGTTACGCAAAATGCGTGCATTGACATGTGAAGCATCTCAAAAAGCTCCTCCCTTGTCCTAAGGGCATTCTCTAACCACTATGCTATATTTAAAGGCTCCTAAGGCAGGATGAACTTGTCACTTGCTTTGTTCACACCTGTAACTTACTGCCTACAAGAATGGGAAAAGTTCAACAAGAGGAAAAAGATGCCAAAGAAAAGACAACTGAGTTTAGTTTAGTACGGGTCAAAAGTACATGGAAGTGCCAACTGGGAAAAAAGATCAATAAGGACAGAGTGGACAGTGTCTCGGCTGCAAAAATGTGAGTACACACACAGTAGTCTAATTTACAGAAATCACAGGAAAAACTGTGATAAACCTTTAATCGTATTTTACGACTGACCTCTTTTTGTTTGCATATTTCTTTCATTTTCTTCAGTCTAATGCTCTTCTCAGTAAATTATACACTGCAAATGATCACTTAGTTAGTTTGATAGTAGTAATCTGATATTTGCAAATATTGCAGAGTTAAATTATAATTTCTGCATTATTTAGTCTTTTCTAATGGCAGAAAGTGCCACTGGTATTTTTCAGGAAGTGAAATTTAGCCAGAGGTTAGCTGCTTTTGGCTGCAATTTAAAAAAAACATTTTTCTTTGCTTTAAGTCACACATCAGTTTGAAATGTAACACTACAGTCTTTTTCTGTAATAATGCATTACATATGATTACATACCACAGTTAAAAAGTACAACATCAAGCATTTTGAAGACGAGCGTTTTAGTGCTTTAAACTGTTTGTATCCTGACATAATAAGATTCCTGCTTGGAGATAAGAAAGAAATAATGCTGTTAAATGAGGCTCAGATGACACCTCTGTCTAATAAAGAAGCTATTTATTGTTTTTAATCTTGCATAATTGTGAGGTTAGACCAAGATGATGGACAGGTAGATGGCTTCTTTGTTCAGAAATACTTTAATTGTTATTGTTAACTGTTATTAACTTATAGTCTTTTTAATCTCAGCCCAAATACAGACCAAAGGTCATTGTAGTGTCCTGTGATTATAATAAATACTTTTTTGTGTCTTGTCTGGCAGCTGTGAAAGTGTCACAGAGAAGGGTACAACCTGGACAGTTATCAGTCCCATTGTCTTTACTTACAAGGTAACTGAAACTCAGGGCTTGCTGGACCCAGGCAACGACACCCTCCTTCTGGGCCACATCAATGACCCTCAGCAGCTAGAGGACATTAAAAAATCAAACAAGCCAATCAGACGCTTTGTGGTGGTTGACCAGGCAGTCTTTCAAATCTATGGCTCCAAGCTAACTGAATACTTAGAGGCCAACAATGTCTCTTACAAGATCTTGGCTCTACCCACCACTGAGGAGAACAAATCTATGGAGACGGCCCTGAAGATCTTAGATGAGGTCAACAACTTCTCTCTTGACCGACGAACAGAGCCCATCATTGCCATTGGTGGAGGCGTGTGCCTTGACATAGTGGGCTTTGCTGCCTCGCTCTACAGGAGGCGCACTCCTTACATCAGAGTCCCAACCACACTGCTCTCCTACATCGATGCCAGCGTAGGGGCAAAGACAGGGGTTAACTTTGCAAACTGCAAGAATAAGCTGGGTGCCTACATTCCACCTGCTGCCACCTTCCTTGATCTATCATTCATACAGACTGTTTCCCGACGACATATCTCCAATGGGCTGGCAGAGATTTTAAAGGTACGGCAAATTTAATTTATGATAAAGTCTGTATGTTGAAAAAAACCCCAGCAACTTGTGCTATTCTCATGGGCCATAAAGGTCAAGTACTACAGACACACACGTGCCATTTATAGCAGAGAAGCTAGTCCCGAGGTCACTAAAGATGAGTGACCCTGACAGCAGAAGTAACTCCATGCAATTTTTGTCGGTTCTTTGCAGATGGCTATGATGAAGCACAGCGGCCTCTTCGAACTTCTCGAGAAACACGGCTCTATGCTATTGGACACTAAATTCCAAATTGATAACAGTGTATATGGGTGCAGCACCCTAAAGGCTGCATCACAGGCAACTCGCATAGCTATTATGACTATGTTGGAGGAGCTTGCCCCAAACCTTTGGGAGGATGACCTCGACAGACTTGTGGACTTTGGCCATCTTATCAGTCCAGCATTAGAGATGGTAATGATCACTAATGGCAAATACAGCTGAACTCTTTGTATCTTTTGCTGATAAAGTTTATGGAGTATGTGCAAAATATACATTAATGCTATGTAGAGCTTTAAACAGTTTTGAGATTATATACACACACACACGGATATCTTAAAAGTGTAGGGTTTCACATTTTCATTCAGGTTGCAAATGATATCATCTCACCTTTCTCTTCCCCGTCCAGAAAGTTCTCCCGTCTCTGCTTCACGGTGAGGCAGTGAACATAGATATGTCCTATATGGTTTATGTGTCCAAAGAGAGTGGTCTATTGACAGAAGAGGAGAAGCAGAGGATCATCAGCTGCATGGTGAGCCTGGAGCTTCCTGTCTGGCATCAAGAGTTTACTATGGAGCTCATACAGAATTCTCTGCAGGACAGGCTGAAACATTCTGGCGGCCTGGTCAGAATGCCTCTCCCTGTTGGTCTCGGGGAAGCAGGTACGGATCCTGTTGCTTGATTTAAATGTACTTGTCACTGCTACAAAACACGTTTTTCCTTCCAGAAAGAAGTAGAAGTCATTGTTTATGTATTTGCAACAAAGGTGGAACTGAAAGTTTCACATTTTTTGCTGCTGAATTAACTGTTTGCTTTGCTCTTCTTTTTATTGCAGAAATTTTTAATAACACATCATATGAGATCCTGCACAGAGCTTACGAAAAATGGTGCGAGGAACTGAGCGCCGCTTCTGAGAGCAACTGTGACCCTTAATAGTGTCATCCTACAACCCCCTCAATACTGTTTTTTTTTTAATGTTTTGTTTTTACATTTTTAAGTGTGTAGTATTATGTACTGTACTTTTAAATGTTTCGTACCGGTAGGAGAAACTGGTTTATAGCATTGGTCTGCTGCATTTTCAGAAACAGTCACATTGTGAGATAACTATTTTTGTATTGATAATCTTAAAGCCTGTAGAAATGGCCTATAACTGTCAGAATTATTGCTAGTGTGTGTTCCTATTGTTATTATTGTCCTAAGTGTTCTCATTGTTGTGTGATGCAGTCAAAAATAATTTGTCACATAAGGGCAGCAACAGCTAGCAAATAATATAAGATCCACAGAAATATAAGAAGCCGCTTACAGCTTGTGTTCGTTGCTTGTTATGTCTGTCAAATATATAAGCGCCATTAAAGATTTTTAATTGGTTATCAGTGGAGTTTGTGTTTGTAACAGTTCACTCGTGTTTTACCCTTAAAACCTTTTTAATAGCATTATTTCAATTTTAAAATTGATTTAACATTTATTTAAAAAAATTAAATGTTAAGTGTATTTATTTGCTTGTTTCATAGCAAACCTGACATCAACAAGGCAATGATTGCTTTTGGATTGTTTTGCTCTGCTGCTCAAACTCTGGATAAACT